TGAGGATGGCATATAGTTTACCATTCTCTTATATTGAATTTTGTTATGTAAAGTGAATTTCCTATATAGCATATGGGTAGCATATACTTTTGTCTTGGTTTTTTAAAAAATCTATTTTGACAATATCTTTTCAGTGACATGTTTAGACCATTTATATTTCATATAAATATATGTTCAGATTTAGGTCTACTGTTTTGTTTCTTTTCTATTTCTGCCTTGTGTTTCCCCTCATCTGTTTTCCTTCTGCTGCATTGTTTTCAATGAACCGATAATTTTCTAGACTCACATTTTAAGTTATCTGTTGGATTCTGGCTATATTTCTTTTTATATTTTTAATTGATTGCATCTTAATTTTTTGCAGTCTACTAGAACTAGTATTTTACCACTTCAAGTGGAAACATTAGAAACTTGACCACCATATAAGTTGCTTTACCTACTTTGTGTTGTAGTTGATATGTGTGTGTGTGTGTGTGTATGTGTGTGTGTGTGTGTGTGTGTATAGCATCTATATATTGAGAAACTCACCAGACTGTTAAAATTTTTGCTTTTAAAAGTCTATTATAAAGAAGTTAAGAGGGGAAAAGTAATCGATTATATTTAACCATGTATTTACCATTTTTGTTCATTTTTCTTTCATTCTTGCGGTTTCCCCTTCCCTCTGCTAACATTTCCCTTTTGTTTACAGAACTTTCTTTACCATTTATTTATATTGGATCTGCTGGTAATGAATACTCTCGGTTGTCTTTCATTGCAGAATGTCTTCATTTCATCTTCATTCCTGAAGGACATTTTTACTAAATATAGAATTCTAAATACAGAATTTAGTTTTTTCTTTCACTGCTTTAAAAATATTGTTTCATTGCCTTCTGACCTCTGTAGTTTCTCATGAGAAATAGATAATCATTTATATCATCACTCCCCAGTTGTGGTATGTGTTGTTTTTCTTTGTCTTTGGTTTTTATCAGTTTGATTAAGGTATATCTGGACATGATTTTTTCTGTTTGGGATTTGTTGAATTTCTTGAATTGGCAAGTTTGATTCTTGCAAAATTTAGGTAGTTTTTAGCTGTTGTTTTTTTAAATATTTTTTTGTAGTACTCTCTTTCTGCTCTTTCTCTAATACTCAGTGACTTAAATGCTAGACCTTTTGTTATTCTCCCGCAGGTCTGGAGGTCTCTATTTTTTCCCTAATCTTTTTTCTCTTGGTTGTTCTATTGGTCTGTCTTCAAGTTCATCAATTCTTTCCTTTGTTATCTCCATTTTCCCATATAATCTACCCAGCATATTTTCTGTTTTGGATATTTTATGTTTCAGTAGTAAAATTTCCTTTTGTTTCTCCTTTATGGCTTACTTTTCTTTGCTGGGACTTGTGTCTTTTCATGTTTCAAGATTGTTTGCTCTACTTTTTTGAAACCATTGTAATACCTGCATTAGAGTCCTGCAGGCTCAAGATCTGAGTCATCTCAGTGTTGGTGTTTATTGTCTTTTCTCTTGTGAGTGGTTGAGATTTACCTGATTTTCTGAGTGACAAGTAATTTTGAATAATATCCTAGATGTTTTATGTATTACTGTATGTGATTCTGGGTCTTGTTTACATTGAACACTGGCTTTTTACTATTGTAGCAGGCATTTTATCTAGCTAGGTTCACTTTTCAGCTTCTGTGTGGCTGCCTTTCCAGTATTCTGGCTGGCAAGCTGAGGTCTTCCTACTCCGCTGTTCTCCAGGGCCACCTATGGAGAGGATAAAGAGAAAGAAGCAACAGGAATTTCAGACCCTCTCTGCTGACCACAGTTCATCTGTTCATACAGGAGAATCTGTCTCTTTAGCTGCTGTGTATCACACTGCTGCTGCTGCCACAGAATCGTGTCTTAGGGATTTGGATTTGCTTGGGGACTGGAGCAGAGGAAAAAACATGCAAGAGAAATCAGGGAGTTTTCCCTACTCTTTCAGTCACATCTCCCACTGACCCTATTGTTCCTTCGGTCAGAAAGGACTTCTCTTGGCACTCTTTCTGCACATACCCGGTGTGCACTTCTGGGAGTGAAGGAATTTGATTGTCTTTGAGTAGGAGCCTCTGGAGCATGGGCTGAGAAACACACCACTGGGTTGGTCATACTTTGAATTGCAGTTTATTTCTCCAGTCTATCTGCTACCATTTACTTTTCAGAGTCCTCAGATGTCTGATTTGTGTATTCTGTCTTTTATGTGAATTCATGGGAGACTGGAGGAAGTGAGCTTAATCTGTCTGAGCCAGAAACCTTCCTTTAAAAGTTTTTGAGTGTTTAACATCATATCTCATTCACTCCACATTTTGATTGATTGATATATGATTAATTTATGGAATCATAAATGATTTAAAAGAACTAAAAAATCCCAGGATTCAAAATTACCTTAGAAATCCTGTAAACCAAACTATTAGCTTTTGGCAAATCTCCTTTACCTCAAACAACTGCTAATGATAACTAAGATTGAATGTGTACTTGTATGTGTACACACACACAATACAGTGTATATATACTTGCCAGTATATTAAACTTTTTATATACACATTATACAATGTGTAATATACTTGCCAGTATATTAAGCTCTTTGTCTATATTAACTCATTGAATGCTCACAAAATTCTATCAAGTTTTTACCTCCATTTTACTGATAAGAAAACTAAGGTTTAGAAAGTCTCAAATGTGGTCTTTGGACCATTCACATTGTCATCACTTTGGTTCCTATAAGGACTTCAGAGACCTGTGTTTCAACACAGACCTTTAGGATCATAATCCACATGTGAATGAGATCCCCAGGTGACTCACTCACACATTAGCTTTTTCAGAGCACCTGTTTAGAGAAGTTCCAGGTAACTTGATTGAGATTACCCAGTGTGCAGGTTACCTTGCAGGTCATCTTTTAGGGTCAAGAAAGTATGCAGTTATCTTTAGCTGGAGAAGGCCTTTTGCTGGACTTCAGCTGTACCATATTCAGTTTGAATGTCTTTGTTCCTTGAAAGAGTCAGGTCACAAGTAAGCTATTCTATGGTAGGCACTTTTCAAATACTGTTGTTCATGCTGAGTCAGTTGTCCTTAGGGAAATCTCTGTCTGTACTGGACAAGACTCAGAGACTAATCAGAAGTTCATCCTACCATCTGGTATAACGAGAAATGAAGAGGAAACATGGCAGTCTTTGAAATAACATTAAGTCTGTCGAAATTGGCATTCATGCACTTCGCTTCCCTTAAATACATTCCCTGCACAGGAGCTGAGTGACATTTTAAAGAATAAATCTGATCATGTTATAGCTTTGCTTAAAGCTTTCTGTGGTATTTAAATTCAGACTCTTTGCTATGGGTTAGGCAATTGCTGCCCTTTCTGGCTTTATCTTAAACCAGAGCTCCACCTTTCTCAATGAACTTCAGTCGTATTGACCCTTTTATCTATTTCCTGAGCATGGCAAGCTCTTTCCTGTTCACTTTTGCATTACCTCCTCCTTTTGCTTAGATTGGGCTTCTCCCTGAAGCTTTGCATTGGCTCTTTCTTACATCAGGTCTCAGTTCAGATTCACCTCCTCAGAGAGTCCTTTCCTAGCCTGCTATGTTGAAAATACCCTCCCACAAACACATACATGGTCATACTCCATAATTTTACATTCTTCTATTCATAGCATTTTTCAGTACTAGAAAGTATCTTATTTGCATGATTTGTTACATCTCTGTGATAACCATCCTCTGGAGAACATAAATGAGGAATAGGATCTTATCTGCTTGCCATAACAGACTCAAAGCCTATGGTTTTTGTGACCATCAAATTAATTGATTCACGTAAAGCTCTGAGAATGGGTCTGACATATTACATGCACTTGTCAGCTGCTATTAGTGTTATTGTTGTTTCTGTAAGTAGTTGTAGTGATAATATATATAGGCATTTGTGAAACTCAGTGGAATGATATATTTTGAATAGATTCAAGGTGAAATCTAATTATAAAAACTGAGTTCTGTATGTAGTTAAGCATTTCTACTTTTTTTTTTTAATGATCCAGAGATCTTTTATTTTTGACACCTATCAAGCCATGAATTTATAGGAAATAGGTTCCAGAAGCTCGGGCTCCTTTCTGTTGGTTCTCACAAAGTGTGCTTCTCTGGATGGACCAGGCCGGCGCTTCAGCAGAACCCACGTGCCTTTCTCCTTGGCTTCCTTTTTTTTCTGGTCATTTTCCTTCACATGTTTCAGGAAGCTATCTCGACTCTTTGAGTGCTTAATATGCTCAATATGCACATTAATTCTCTTGGCAAGAATCTTACCCTTGACTTGTTTGTTAACAACAATGCCAATAGCATGTTGACATTGTAGACTCTTCTTGTCTTGCCATGGTAGCATTTGTGGGGCATTCCTTTCTGAACAGTACCCATTCCCTTGATGTCTACAATATCACCTTTTTTGTAGATTTGCATGTATGTGGCCAAAGGAACAACTCCATGTTTTCTGAACAGCCTGGAGAACATGTACTGCGTGCCCCTCCTCTTTCCCTTTGCATTCGTCATTTTGGCAAATTACTCGAAGATGGTGGTTCTGGCTGAAAGCATTTCTACTTTTATAGGATTGAAAAAGTGAAAACAGTTAAAATAATAATGTTTTGATTGGAATTTTCCCAAGTTTCTCACTTAAGAGTTTAGGCAGTTGTAGTCAAACTATCCATAGTATAGAGCTGGGATCCTCAAAAACACATCTGTCTTCCAAAATTGTGAACAGTGAGGACATGCAGTTGTGTTTGAAAAGTTTACAAACCGAAAAGCCAGTTTTGCTGGAAATGATGGCTCCTGGATGGTAAATTTAAAACTACCTTTTTTTATTACTCTAGACACTGTGCAGCATCAGGTGATATAGTATGCTTAGAATGACATTCAATGTTGTATAGCATTTTTATTGGTGCTGTCATAGAAAGAAATGTGCATTTATATAGCATTCTGTATATCGTGAGTTACTCTGCATTTCCTGTCTGTCTGTGATCACAGGTAACAGTCAACCTCTTCCAGATGCAGCACCTACAGGCTGCCTCCCTTGCAGACAGCCTACAGTCTCTCTGTGATAGTGCCAAACTCTATGATCCAGGCCAAGAGTACAGTGAATTTGTCAAGGCCACAAATTCAATGGAAGAAGAAAAAGTTGATGGGTGAGAATTAATGTCCAGATGAAATTATTTCAAAAGATAAAACATCTATTGCTAAGTTCTTATCTAGTATAAGAAGATGTATTTCCTAACATTGGCAAAATTAGCTTTAAATTTTTCTGAATTTTTAAATATTAGGGATCTAAGTAAATATATTTAAGGAAAACCCACTTGAGAGTAAAACTTTCCATTTTGATACGGACTTTAGTTCTCAAGACTTAAAAACCCTTTAGGAAGGGCATATGGTAGCCATACTTATCTTCAGTGTTCACAGGATTTAACCTACACTTTCCAGAGAGGTTAGACAAGGGAGGAGGGGACCCAGAAAACACCAGAATTTATTTATGAAAAATTGTGTATTTCTTCTTACATATTAAAACTTCACTCACCTTCAAAATGCTCTGTGTTTGATGCAGTACACCTGTCAAGACACTTTTTCCACTGCTCAGAATAGTTTTTGAATTCGTCGATTTGGATGCCTGTTAGTGCATCTGCTGTTTCTTGTTTCACCTCTTCTACGTGGGCAAAACATTTCCCTTTGAGTACTTTTTTTCATCTGGAGAAACAAAAAAAGTCTCTCGGGGTGAGATTGGAAGAACATGGGGGTGGGGCATGGGAATCATGCCATTTGTGGTCAAAAACTGCTGAACGCTCAGCACAGTATGTGTGGGTGCGGTCATAAATCACCCATCATGAAATGGACAAACGCTTTGAAAGAATCTCCAAAAGAAATTTCACTGATGCAGAACACAGCCTCTCACAACAATGCTTGCTGGTACTGATGCGGATGGGTTCCTAGAACACTTGCCTGGTGGGGGATGCCTGTACTACAAGGGGCCCAAACTCCAAAAGACAATTCCATTTTTGGGGGGGCTCTCCCCATACTAGAAAAGTTTAACTATGACATGAATTATTGGCTATCCTTTGGCTACTCTTTCCCATGTTATAATAATAAGTACAAATAATTTAGAAGTTTTATTCACATCTCCTAGAAGAAGATAAAACCATGTAATATGATTCGTTCTTAGTATTTAGTTTAGTTATCTATGATCATTAAATTAACAGATTTTTCTGAACATAGATTAAAATAGACTGAGTATTAGTCATTCTCCTGAGTGCTGAGTTTTATCTGTGGTTTTTGTTTTCAGGAATGTAAATAAACAGTTAACAAATAGTCCCCAAACTTCTGGATATGGGCCTGCTGGTTCTTTAGAGGATGTTGGGCGCCCTTCTGACATTTCTAATAAAATTGAAGAGGACAGATGCTCCAACAGTGCAGATATAACAGGTAGTTTTCCACACTAAAGAGAATGCTAATTTACAGAGGATCAAACTGTTCAGATGTGATTGTTAAATGAGTCGGAGCTCTGGAATTTAAAAATCAGGCCTTACAGATTGTAAGTTTATGGGACCTTATTCAGGGTTGTTACCACTATACCTATCTTAAAGTTGATGATTAGCCATTGTTAAGGAAATATGAATTGTTTAATTTTTTAGAATGTATTTTGCCTTACGAAATCCACTTAAAGCCAAGTTTTGACTTTATTTTTTTTCTTAAAGGTCCTTCTTTTATAAGATCATGGACATTTGGAATGTTTAGTGACTCTGAGAGTACTGGAGGCAGCAGTGAATCTAGATCTCTGGATTCAGAATCTATAAGTCCAGGTACCTAAATATTTAAGTCTAGCAGTAAAAATTCAATGAAAGAGCGTTTCTTTTACAGTGTATATCTTAACTACCTTGTTTTTTGTAATAAATTTTCTCATACATAGAGAGGAGAATGTACATGTATATGTACAGTTTGAAGAGTAATAAAAAACAAACCCTCATGTATTCATTCACCCAGCCTAAGAAATAGATCATCAACCGTATATTAGAAACCCCCTCTGGACGTCTCCCTGATAGCATTGCCCTATCTCCTACCAGAATATACCATTATCTGGCATTTTAAAAATCATTCCTTCCCAAAAAATAAAATAAAAAAATAAAAATGATTCCCTAGCTATTTAAAACTTTTTACAGAGATATCTAGTAGATTTTTGCTTTCTTCTGAATGTTATACAAATGGAATTATGCTATTCTTATTGACTTCATGTATGCATATTTTTAGATCCATGTTAGTAGATCTTTATTTTCAGTGAATGTAACAGTATCTATCTTTTCAGTTGTTTTGTAGTTAATTGCTATAATAAACGATGTCATTATATTGGTTTTTGTGCCTGCAGTTACTTATTCTTGTTAATTTTTTTCAAATGTGCCTTAAGATACCTTTACTTAGATTGTCTCTTGATCCTCAGAGAGAGACAGAGTAGGTGTTTTGAATTCTCCCTTCAAAATGGGTAACTTGCTATAGAACACATTATATAGCTGGTGGATGAGAAAGCACTTGACCCCATGAGATTCTTACTTCCAGCTTTCCTTCTCCATTCCTATGCCAAAGTCCACTCCCATCTTGTTCTTTCTGGCTACATTTCTTTCTCCTAGGATCTTGAGAGAGAGATTGTAGGATTTAACCCCCTCAAATTCCCAGGCCTTTTTCTTTTTAGCGTTTTATGTATTGCAGAAGTTTTATTCATTTAAATAAATCTCTATTTAAAGGTAGAAAAATTTTTCAATGCAGCACTGGTGTTTGTAGACTGATTATGAACATACTGCTACTTTGCGGCATTCTTTAAAACTAGCATTGTTCAAGACATGTCCTGGAAATATAAGCCTAATGTTTATCAGAATACTTGTAATTATTTTTATAAAGGCAAACTAGTTCTAGCTAGCTCCAGAAATTATGACCCAATCAAGACTCCAAATTATTTGAGATCCTGTAAGAATTCATGTAATAAAGACAAGAATTTGGGAACCAGATCACCTGATAAATGAGTGAAGACCTGGGGATGCCTCACCTGGGAAGGAGACTTTGAGCACATTACAGCTGTCCTCAAAGATTGGATGTGAAAGGGAAAGGAAGTTATAGTGCTTGTTGGCTCCTTGGGGAAAATATGACCAAAGGCTGAGACTCATAGGAAGGCAGATTTCTGCTCAATAGTATAAGGAATCCATTCTATAATTAGAAAAGTTATAAAATAGAGCATGTGGCCTTGTGATTTCTCAGTCATTCAGGGCATTCAGAGCCCAAACTAGATGACTACCTTTAAGCATGTTGTGAAGAGAAATCCTTTTGGGAAGAGAATGGTCTTTAAAATCACTTGTAAGAAGCCTTTCTAACTCTGAACCTGACTGTAAAGGCCCTAAGTTAAAGTGAATTTTTCCACGTAGATAGAGGCCTGTTTGTAATATCACAGGGAGTAAATAAACGTCATTCCCAGTCAGGCTTCTACCATGTGTTGATGCACATGGCCCGTCCTTTGCTGACAAGCTTGCATCCTTAGGTCTCAATCCCTGCTGGCATTACTAGGCTATTGCTCATGGCTCCTAGTCTCCTGTCTTATTAGTAGCATAAATATGATATTATTATTGAGTTGTTGTAGTCCAAGATTTTTATATATTTCAGAAAGCTTTGGGTTGTATTGTAGACATTTATAACTTAATTCAACAAATGTTTAATATCACCTTTACTATGCGCCAACCACTATCACATATTAGATATTAGATGTGAATGGAAAATGCTACCTGTGTTTGTGGAACTTACAAACTCTTAATGTTGTCAGAAGTTGGCAGTAAGGTTTCATTGGAGTATATGATCCTCAGTTTTAAATTTGTTTGGGAAAGTCAGATTTGGTTGAATTTCCTTTACTTCCGAGGAATAAGTATCAGAATTCTCTGTTATTCAGTGTTTAAGAATGGAAGCAAATTTTTCTTTAAAGCTAATAAAGAAAGTGGTATTGCTTCATAAGTGGTGTCATTACCCATTTCTAAAATTCTATAGCGAATGGTCAGTTAATTGTGTCCACAATTTTCTTTTAGGAGACTTTCATAGAAAACTTCCACGAACTCCATCGAGTGGAACCATGTCCTCCGCAGATGATCTGGATGAAAGAGAGCCACCTTCCCCTTCAGAAGCTGGTATTGAATTAAGTCCTGTTAAACCAGTTGGATCAGTAGCACTGCATGATATTAGAAAAATAGTGTAATTTTAATGAATCATTACTTTGTTGTGTATTAAAAAGTGTCATGATGACAATTATATGTGTGAGCTGATACTGTATTAATCAGATGTTACAAATACAAATATAAGAATTAACAACAAAACCACTAGATCTAAGATGTATTGGCACGGTGCTAAAGTAACAAGCTAGGTATTACACTTTTTCATAAACCCTATACTGTGACTTAGTGTTAAAAGCCCTACAATGTATGAGAAATTCTAAAAAGTCCTCTTCAAAAGAAACAGTGCAAGAAACCAAGCAGGAAAAGTAAATAAACATCCTCCTTGAAGACAAGGAAACTTGTGGGTATTGAAGGATATAAAGTCAATTACTGTAATGACTTGAATTAGATTCATATAAATTAGTTTTGTACATTTGATATCTCCAGATATTGGTTTTGGCATCATTTTCTAAATTAATGGAACATGTGACCTCCATTGTAGTATTGATACATAACTAACTAGTATTAACTATAATTTTATAATGCATTGAGAATGGCTTTATCCTTAAACCAAATAATGCTGACACTTTAACCTCATACAATTGTTTTTCTTTGAAGTGTTCAGAGGCTTTTTCTAAGAATATAATGCCACTTAGGATCACCCTTCTCAACTCTGTAAGGGCACATTAATAACAATATAAATTTGCTGATTCTGAAAACATTGTCATGTTATTTTAGAGTTATCTTATTGATTTGGTGGCAGTTTTTACTCATAGCTTAAATGTTTGATAAATATATATGCCTTCTAAGAGATGTATACAAGGGGAGAACCTAAAAGACCCAGAATTATCTTTTGGAGGGCTAGCTAGTATACTAGGAATTTGTTCCTCCAAATAAAGTGGTCAACCGAAGATTTTATCTGGAAGTTCTGAAAAGGTTACATCACAATTTGTGCAAGAAATATCCTAAATTGTGGCAAACAGGTGACTGGTCCTTCCACCATGACAACCTACCTGCTTATATCACACTGAGTGTTCAGCAGTTTTGACCAGAAACTTCATGACCCCCGTGCCCCACCTACCCTATTCACCCAGTCTCCCCCCAAGCAACTTTTTTTTGTTTCCCTGGATGAAAAAAGTTGTCAAAGGGAAATGTTTTGGCATTATGGAAGAGGTGAATGAAACAAACAATGGCAGAAGCACTGACATCAAAATTGATGAGTTCAAAAATTAAGCAGTGGGGAAAAAATGTCTTTATAGGTATATTGCATCAAACAGAGGGTACTTTGAAAGTAACTGAAGTTTAAACATTAGGAATAAATATGCAATTGGTCATAAATAAATTCCAGGTTTTGGGGGTCCCCCCTCGATAAATTGGATGTTTATTTTGATGTTATAAATCCAAAATGTTAGCATTTAGTGATAGTTAATGATTACAAGTCTAATGATTATTCAAACTACGATATCATATGGTATAAATTTTTTGTCATCTTACAGTTTTAATATGCTAACTATTTTTGTTGCAAGGTCCCAATTCCCTTGGAGCATTTAAGAAAACATTGATGTCCAAGGCAGCTCTCACTCACAAGTTTCGCAAATTGCGATCCCCCACGAAATGTAGAGATTGTGAAGGCATTGTAGTGTTCCAAGGTGTTGAATGTGAAGAGGTAAGATCTTTCTAGAAGTGCATTGGCTCCTTTATACTTTTGTTTTATACTCTTTTGTTATTAATTTTACCTATTAGGATCTTTTGCATATGTGTTTTTTAATCAGTTGTACCACAGTGTGCCTTCTGTAATTTTATATTCTGTTATGCTGTTAAATGTATCTCAAACACCACAAATGATACCTCTTAAACTCATTTTTGTTATGATACTGTCTACCTACAGTTTGCCCAGTTGTGAGAAGTTTTCAGTTTTAAACTATCATTTTCTTGTAGTGTCTCCTTGTTTGTCACCGAAAGTGTTTGGAAAATTTAGTCATCATTTGTGGCCATCAGAAACTTTCAGGAAAAATACACATATTTGGAGCGGAATTTACACAAGTTGCAAAAAAGGAACCAGATGGCATCCCTTTTATACTCAAAATATGTGCCTCAGAGATTGAAAATAGAGCCTTGTGTCTACAGGTACATTGTAACTCTTAAAATTTTAAAAACAAACGTCTGTGTGATTTATTCTAATGAAAAAGAGACTTTAAAGGAAAACAATGCTCTCAGTTTTTAATAACTGTATTTATTAATATTTCTTTAGAAAGTGTTACTTCCCTTGGCCCTAATTAGTTTTTTCCTAAAATGCTAATAAATTTTGAAATAGGCACATCAGATATATTTAGATGTCTGTCTGCATTTAGCCATTTGCACTAAAACATAATTCTGCAGAAAATTTTCTTTTCTATTTAAGGGAATTTATCGTGTGTGTGGAAACAAAATAAAAACCGAAAAGCTGTGTCAAGCTTTGGAAAATGGAATGCACTTGGTAGACATTTCAGATTTTAGTTCACATGACATCTGTGACGTCTTAAAATTATACCTTCGGCAGGTAAAGTTTTTACCCTTGAATCCTACCACTAAATAAAAAAGAGCAAAAATGTGATTTGTATTTTGCTGATAACATCTACACATATATTTTTGTTGACATAGACCATATTGATATCTTGCTGATTATTAATGTATAGATCAAAAGTATATAATACATATGTACAGTTTAAGGAATAATATTAAAAATTTATCTCCCACCACTCAGCTTAAGAAAATAGACTGATACTGTACCTTACAAAAGACTCCCATGTACTTCTTTCATGTTGCAGCCTCGCGTCTCCACTGAGGAGGTCTTGCCTAACTGTGTAAATAACTACCTCTCTTTTTTTTATACTTTTTTTTTTAACTAAGAAAGGTAGATTTATTAAGGAAAGATACATTGTGAAGGGCACAGTGGGCAGGACAACAGCAAGAGTGTCTAGTGTCTGCTGTCTGCTGCTTTTTTTAGTATTTTTAATACCTGTTGTTTACTCCTAAACAATGTATCATAAAATTTTGGAAAACTGACTTTAAAGCATAAATCTAGCTATGTAAGGAAAACCCAGTATCCGTACTGTTTTATGAAGATTCAGCAAATAGAACAGTGTCTAGATCATAGTCTGTCATTGTATTCATTGGTATTTTAAAATAGCTATTGTAAGAGGTCAGTGGGCAAGATCATGTTTGCATCCCAGAAACCATAAAATGGGGAGTCAGGTAGGGCTATCCTATAGGCTGGGTACTGCACATTCTAGCAGGAATGTGATCTGGGAGTGGTGGGCATGTGTGTGTGTGTGTGTGTGTGTGTGTGTGTGTGTGTGTACGTGCGCACGCATGCACACATGCACTCATTGTTACACCTGTAATTTGCAGGAGTAGTTCCCACATTTGTGGGGTGAAATAAATGGGCTTAGTGGCTATAGGCAGAGCTTCTGGAGGGCTTACAAGAGCTTAATCGACACTTGTCATGAGCCAAGTACTAAAAAAATCTCTTAGGCAGGCTCACCTACATGCTGTCCTCAGTCAAATGTGAAGAGATAATGTCAGAGAGAACAGTGATGATAGTCCTCAGCATGTCTGTCTGTGCAGTTTTTCTCTCCAATCTGGAGCCTTTAAAAAAATTTTAATTTATTTAAATTGACATACAATGAGTCTACCTATTTGTGAGGGACATAGTGATGTTTCAATATATATAATGTATAGTGATCAGATTAGGGTAATCCACCATCTCAAACTCTTACCATTTCCTTGTGTTGGGAACTTTCAATATCCTTTTAGTTATTTGAAACTACATATTATATTAATGTATTATTGTTAACTAGAGTCACCCTGTAGTGATATACAACACTAGAACTTATTCCTCCTATCTACTTGTAACTTCATACTGGACTTTTTAAAAACATGGTAAATAACCATTATCCTGGGACTTTTTTTTCCACCCTCCACTCTTTTTTCCCCCAGCACTTTATTTTTATTTTAGAGTTGTAGGGTGCATGTGAAGATTTGTTACGTAAGTAAGTTGTGTTCAGGTGAGGTTTGGGCTTCTAGCGATCCTTCTCCCCTGGTGGTGGACGTGGTGCCCAGTGGGTGGTTGTGCGCCCCTTAGCCATCCTCCCTCCCTCCCTCCATTTCTCTCTCCATGAGTAGTGCCCAGCGTCAGTTGCTCCTGCCTTTGTGCTCACGTGGCCCATGTTTAGGGCTCGCTTATGAGTGAGAACATGCGGTATTCAGTTTTTTGTTTCTCAGAATGATGGTCTCCAGCTGCATTCATGTTGCTATAAAGAACATGATTTTGTTCTGTAGTATTCCATTGTGTATATGTACCTCTGTTTATTTTTTTAATCCAGTTCACTTTTGTTGGGCATCTGGGTTGATTCGATGTTTTTGCTTTTGTGAGTAGTACTGCAATAAACATACACATGCAGGTGTCTTTTTAGTAGAGCGATTTGTATTCCTCTAGGTATATTCCCAGAAGTAGAATTGCTGGATTGTACAGTAGCTCAATTTTCAGTTATTTGAGAAGATGCCACACTGCTTTCCACAAAGGTTAAACTAGCTTACATTCCCACCAATAGTGTAGAAGCATTCCCTTTTCTTCGCAGCCTCCCAACACCTGTTGTTTTTTGAATTTTTAGTGATAGCCATCCTGACCAGTATAAGTTAATATCTCATTTTAGTTTTGATTTGCATTTCTGTGATGATTAATGCAACTGAACATTTTTTCATGTTTGTTGGCTGCTTGGATATCTTCCTTTGAGAAGTATCTTTTCATATCCTTTGCCCACTTTTTAACGTTGTTGTTGTTGTTGTTTCTGTCGATTAATTTGAGTTCCTTGTAGGTCCTGGATGTTAGACTATTGTCAGATGCATAGCTTGCAAATATTTTTTTCCATTCCATGGGTTGTCTCTTTACTCTCTTGATGGTTTCATTTGCTAGGCACAGTCTTTTCAGCTTGCTAAGGTCCCACCTGTCAGTCTTAGCTTTTGCTGCATTTGCTTTTGAGGACTTGGCCATGAATGCATTGCCTACTACAATGTCCAGGAATGTATTCCCCATGTTTACTGCTAAGATTCTTATTATGTGGGGTTTCACATTTAAGTCCTTGAACTATTTTGAGTTAATTTTTGTATATGGTGATAGATAGAAGTCCAGTTTCATTCTTTTGCATGTGGTCAACTAGTTTTACCAGCACCATTTGCTAAATATGGTATTTTCCCCCAATGTTTGTTTTTTTCAGTTTTGTTAAAGATGAGTTGGTTGACGTTATGTAGTATTCCATTGTGTGTATGTACCACTTTTTAAAAAAATTCAGTCCACTTTTGATGGGCATGTGGGTTGGTTCCATGTGTTTGTCTTTGTCAATAGTACTGCATTAAACATATGTGTGCAGGTGTCCTTCTGGTCAAGCTATTTGTATTCCTCTGGGTATGTTCTCAGAAGTGAAATTGCTGGATCATACAGTAGCTCAATCTTTATTTATTTGAGAAGATGCCACACTGCTTTCCACAAACGTTTAACTAGCTAACTAGCTTACATTCCCACCAATAGTGTAGGAGCATTTCCTTTTCTTCACAGACTTTATTTCCGGTTTCTCTGTCCTGTTCCATGTGTCTATTTTTGTACCAGGACCGTGCTGTCTTGGTTATTGTAGCCTTGTAAACTTTGAGGTCTGGAAGTGTGATGCTTACAACCTTGTTCTTTTTGCTGGGCTCATTTTTGCTTCCATATGAATTTCTGTATTTTCTAGGTCTGTGAAAAATGATGTTGGTAGTTTGATAAGAATTGCATTGAATCTGTAGATTGCCTTGGGTAGGATGGACATCTTGACAAAATTGATTCTTTCAATCCGTAAGAATGGGGATGTTCTTCCACTTGTTTGTGTCATCCTTGATTTCTTTGAGCAGTGATTTGTAGTTCTCACTGTAATGGTCTTTAACCTCTTTTGCTAGGTGGATGCTGAGGTATTTTTTTGTGTGTGTGGCCATTTTATTTGGTTCTCAGCCTACTTATTGATATATAGGAGTACAGTTTTGGGGTTTTTTTGCATGTTAATTTTATATCCCGAGACTTCACTGAAGTCATTTATCAGTGCAAGGAGGTTTTTTGACAGACTGTAGCGTTTTCTAGGTGTAGAATCATATTATCCTCAAAGAGTCCACCTTCCCCTCTTTTGTGAGGAAATACCTGTCATGTCTTCCTTGTGTTTAGTCTGTTCTATTTTGGTCATGCCCGTACTTCAGCAAGGCATAATTGGAGTAAATATTTGGAACCTTGTTTATCTGTGAATGTTTTTATTCTACTCTCTTAAATGGAATGGAATAGTGTGGATAGTGTGGAAGGTATTCTAGCATGAAAATTATTTTTCTTCAAAATTTTGATGGCATTATTTTTTTGTTCTCTTTGAAGCCTGAAATCCTTCTTATTTTATTTCTGAATCTTTGTATATGACCTATTGTTTTGTCTCTCTGAAAGCTTGTAGAATCTTCTTTTTCCCCGTTTCCCTAAAATCTCATAGTAATGTGCCTTGATGGGGGAGTTCACTCAGGACTCTGGGCGCCCCATGAGCCCTGTCAGTCTGGTCAGTCCTTTAGCTCTTGAAACTGGGTTTGGCTGCTCATCCCCTCCGCTCTATTTTCCCTGTGCTTTCTGTCTGTTGTGCCTGTTTGGATCATTGACAACTCAAACCGGTTCTGTAGTTCCCTTACCTTTTCTCTTTAGTTCATTTATTTTTTTGTTTTCTTACTATACTTTCTAAGGGATTTCCTCAGCTTTATCTTTCTCCCTTGCTGTAAACTGTTTCATTCCTGATAGCATATTTAAATTTCCAAGAACCCTGGTTTTCTGTTTTGTTACAGCATTCTTTTTTTTTTTTTTGAGTTGGAGTCTCACTCTGTTACCCATGCTGGAGTGCATTGGCATGCTCTCGGCCACCACAGCCTCAACTTGCTGGGCTCAAGGGATCCTTCTGCTTTAGCCTTCCAAGTAGCTGGAACTACAGGTGTACACCACCATGCCCAGCTTTTTTAATGAATGCAATATCTGAGGACATAGAGATTTTTTTAAAAAATAGATTATTTTATTTGCTTATTCTCTAGCCTTGTCCAATAGGAATATAATGTAGGCCACATATAATAGTAAATTTTCTAGTGGCCAGCTAAATAAAGATAAACAGGTAAAATTAATTTAAATATTTTCCTTAACATACTGAAAATATCATTTGAACATTTAATCAGTATTTTTAAATTATTAATAAATGTTTTACTATTTTTGGTACTGAGTCTTTAAAATCTGGTGTGTATTGTTCATTTAGAGCACATCTCCATTTGGGTCAGCTACATTTCCAGTGCTCAGAGCCATATGTGACCAGTGGCCACTATATTGACAGCATAGTTTTAAACCTTTAAGTTGGATTGTTTTTTTTCTATCCATTTTGATTTCTGTCTTCCATAGTTGTCTGCTTAAAATAAAGTGTTGAGCATTGAAATCTCTTTGGAAGCTCATGAACACATGTGGGCTTTGAGCTTCATTGGAGGATGATCTGGGTGGGCTGTTTGGGAAACACCTGATGTCTCTATCTGGGTCCCTGCTCTTGGGCTGTTCTGACAGAGGAGGGTCTGTCTGTGCCTAGAGTGTGTTACCAGTACTCTAGGAGCAGAGAAGGGGGAGAAGGTGGCAGGACCTCTGCATTCGGTGTTCATACCGTCACTAAATGCCCATTTTGCCCACCAGAGACCCTCTGTCTTACACTACCCAGAGGAGAAATCTCCAGACTTCTGAGGAAGTGGTTTCTAGGGAATGTGGAGTGGAGTCAAGGATCTACAGACCCAAGCCTTCTCAGATAGTTCCCCCTCCCACAGGATGAGAGGAACTAGTGCCGAGTCCCCATAGGATTCTGTCCATCATGTCGGTTCACAGTTTGGGGTTTTGGCTTTCTCAGAACTGCTAAGTTCACAGTGGTTCATCTGTTCTTCTGTCTGTGAAATGCTGCTTTTGTCACCTCTCCTATTCTCTCAGTCCCGTAGCTTACTGTGTTTTAGTGGAGTTGTAGTGAGGGGAATTAGATATGATTGTTGGATCTGCCGTGTTAGCCCAGGAAACTTGGTATCTCCGTACTGACATTTTACAGGACTCTCAACTGAAAACAGGCTCATGACCTCTGAATGACTATAACTCTCATCATGAAGCATCCTCTATCTCTTGTAGCCAGACAGGAAGAGAGAATGAATGGAGCCTAATTCTGTCAGCTCTCACCTGTCTCGAGAATACTGTGTGACCAAGGTGTTGGGGGCAGGAGACTCTCAATTCTTACAACAGTATTAGAGAGCAGCTTTCACTTTACATTTGCTGGTTGAAAACCTGAAGCTCCAGGAGGTTGAGCGACTTCCTTCCCGTCCCAGAGTGATGGAGGGAGAAGGTGATCTCATCCCTCTCTAGGACCAGCAGGGGAGACCAGAGAAAGGGGCACCTGCCTCACCACAGAATCACAGGACATCAGCAGTCAGAGCACACTGTGTTTTCCATCACAGAGCAGTGGACACACCGGAATTCATTATGGCAGTGGGAAGATCAACATGGCATGCCCTTGGTTCCTTTGAGGGAGAAACTTTTTCTTTTGAGCAACTTATGGCCGTTCAAATTAGTTAAATAAAACATTGTGTGTTTTACTTAAAAGTCGTGGTGTCAGATGTTAATTTTCAATCTAGCCCAAGTAAAACACAAGAGCCCCATAGCATTTTTGTTTTTTCTGTCTCCCCCGTACCAATAATATTCAGTTTATCAGCTTTTTCTAATTAATTTGACTTATTTTGTGCATTATTCTGGGTTTTATATCATTAAAACAGTTGAAGATCATACTAACTTTGGGACAGTCATGAATGTAATTGGTATAGGATATATATCAGAGTTTTAAAATTCTGTCGTGCAACTGTAGGATTAGTGTTTACTAATTGTCAGTTAACTCATTTTTATAACTTATTATGATTCTAGATTAACTTTGTAGACCACATCTATAGTAAACATATACTACATTTCTAAATGTGTATTGACTTTAAATCTTCTTAATCCTAAGAGACGTGCTGAATCATTCAGTAATTGATAATAATATTTGACTATTAGCAGAAAAAGTAGAATATTCCTAATGTAATTTTATTTTTTAGCTCCCGGAACCATTTATTTTATTCCGGTTATACAAGGAATTTATAGACCTTGCAAAAGAGATTCATCGTGTAAATGAAGAACAAGAGACAAAAAAAGATAGCTCTGAGGACAAAAAATGGCCAAATATGTGTATAGAAATAAACCGAATTCTTCTAAAAAGTAAGGACCTTCTACGACAGTTGCCAGCATCAAACTTTAACAGTCTTCATTATCTCATAGTACACCTTAAACGGTAAGAATTTTATGTAAGTAGAGCATTCATTCGTGGGTAGATAATCAATTCATTTTTTGTTTTTAAATATGGTAAAATACACATAACAGAATTTACCATTTTAACCCTTTTTAACTGTACAGTTCAGTAGTGTTAAGTACATTCACATTGTTGTGGTGTTACTTTTAAAGTGAACATTTCATTTCTAATATGTGTAAGGGAAACAGAAACACTGAATATATGTTCATGCAGCCAGCATCGCTCCCTCAGATGCATCCTGTGGGCCAGGCTCTGGCTGGGAAGCAAGAATGAAAACGTAGGGCTTCTGCCATGGTTAGGCTCACAGCTTGGGGGACAGACCTGCAGACAAGCAGAGTGCAGCCCCATTCATATTCTAACAGAGCTGTGACAGCATGCAGAGGTGGGGCATAAGTCAGAGGGAAGATCTGGGGTCCAACTTGAAGAACTGAGGAGCGGTCCGTTGGACAGAGAATGTGCAAAAGAGCAGTCCAGGAACAGGGTCACAGGCACAAAGACACAAGAGAGCACTCTGTCTGCATTTGGGAAGTGCAGGTAAACAGGGTAGGATGTGGGGCCCTGGACAGGAGCACAACCCGGGCTGGGGAGAGAGCCTGATCAAGGAAACCCTGTGTGCCTGGCAAATGAGTTGACAGCCTCCTTCTGTGCCCACTTAAGAATTTGGAGCCAGGACTCAGATTTGCCTGTTAGCTCTTTCCAGGAACAATATGGAGAATAGGTTGGAGGGAGGCCTTTAAGACAATTCAGATCTTCTTGAGTAGTTGTGGAAACAAAAGGTGGAGGGGCTTGAAGTGAGGCATAGCAGCGAGAGGGTTGTGGAACAGAGCTCTCCAGGAGGGAAGATCAGCGAGGCTTAAGGACCGACTGTGTGTGGTGAGAGGGGTCGATGGTGGTGTGCTGGTTTCCAGTGTAAGGCTGTGGGAGAACATACCATACATGGAGTCAGGAGCAGGTTTGAGGGGTGTTTCTTCTTTCTGGGGACAGAACTGTAGTAGTTCTTCTACTTAGTTGAATTTTATTACAGTACTGTGAAGCTCAGTTTGGTTTGTGGTCAATATTTTAATCAAATGAGTGTATCCTTCTAGACTTTTTCCTCCCGAGCCCTCTTGAGGTGTAATTGACAAACTTTTCATAGACATCAGCAGCCCATTTTTCCTCCACCCTTAACAGGCAAATCTCAGGTAGCTGTGTGTATTCTACTTTGCAGTGTAGTAGATCATGCAGAAGAAAACAAGATGAACTCCAAGAACTTGGGGGTGATATTTGGACCAAGCCTCGTCAGGCCAAGGCCCACAGCTGCTCCTGTCACCATCTCCTCCCTAGCAGAGTATTCGAATCAAGCGCGGCTGGTGGAATTCCTCATCACGTACTCACAGAAGATCTTCGATGGGTCCCTGCAGCCGCAGGATGCTGCGTGCAGTCCAGGTGTTATTGCACCTCAGGTCGATCAAGGCTGTCTTTCGAAGCCTCTGTTGTCACCAGAAGAAAGAGACACAGAACATTCCATGAAATCATTATTTTTTTCTTCAAAGGAAGTAAGTTTTGACCTTTATGGAATTGTATTGGAACTTTGTGATGTTCATGTTAATAAACTAAAAATCTTTGAGCTGTTTATTTTGAGGTGTTGTTTTGCTTTTTCAAGTGTAAAAAATCTCTTCTATCAACAGGATGTTCATATTGCAGATAGTGAAAGCACAATTTTTGAACCAGCTACATCATTTGAGGAATCAGAACGCAAGCAAACTTCATTAGGAAAATGTGACACCTGTCTCAGTGGTGAGTGGCCATGTTAAAAAAACAAACATATGTTTGCTAACGTAATACATTGCCAGTAAACCATGATTAAAAGCCAAAAGTGAGTGGAGGTGAGGGAAGTCAGAGAACAAAGCATTGTCAGTTCACAAATCTTGGCTAGCCATTGAGAGAGTTGCCTGTTAGTGTACCTGGCACTTAAATGAATATCATTCCTCATAAAAATCTTTCTTACAGAAAGACATCTTGGAACTCATAAGTGTTTTTTGTGTTCCTTCTAAAAATATTTTTGTTTTCATTGTTGCTTTTTGCCATCAAAGTCAAGGCAGAGTTGTGTCAAGCACTGTATTAGCATCTTCTGGTTTCATGGTTCTATGCATTGATCTAACTGCACATAAGGCATTAAACCAGACTCCTAAAAGGCAAAAAATCTGGAGTCCTAACATTTTTCTTCAAATGCTTTTTCCTCTGGCCTACTTTTAAGCCAGTAAGGACACATATGTGCATGTCTTGTTTATTTCTTTGACTGCAGCCATTTTATGCACTGATTTTCTCTATGTGATCATTTGAAATGCAGTCATTTGTGTTGGTATCTGTCAAGCTGATAGAAAAGCTTCCAAGCCAGGCACGGTGGCTCACCCAGGGACTTGAGACCAACCTGGGCAACTTGGTGAGACCTCGTCCCTGTGATAAATAAATTTTTAAAAATTAGCTGGGCGTGGTGGGTCACACACCTGTGGTTCTAGCTACTTAGAAGACTGAGGTAGAAGGATCACCTGAGCCCAGCAGGTCAAGGCTGCAGTCACCATGAACATGCCACTACACTCTAGCCTGGGGGACAAGAGTAAGACTCTTACTCAAAAAGAAAAGAGAGTCAAATAAATGGTACAAAGACATCAAAAAAAGAAAAAGAAAAGCTTGCATTTGGTGTTCTAATTCTACATTGTAATAGCCAAATTCCAGTTTTCCCAGTACAACCATATGTGTTAAATTTACTGCATAATCAATATCAATGAACATAGAATATAAAAAAGAGGAGAACTAACATTCACCAAATACCTGCCTGTTCATGCTAAGCACTGTGCTTGTTGTTTGGTTTCACTGATCTGATTTGATCTCCTTAACAGTTCTGTGCTATAAAGTCTACATTAGCCTCATTCAACTGTAACTAATTGAGAGAGATTAAGTAATATGAAAGGTTGTGCTCCTAATAAACTCTTCAGTCAGGATTTGAACCCAGTTCTGATTTTTAACTAACCGTTTTTCATGAAGCTGTTAGAAATATCGTAATACATGTTATTTTCCAGTGCTTATTATATACTAGGTAATTCCAAGCACTTAGTAGGTGATTTAGACCACACAATGACACAAGTACCCTTAGAAGTCTTTTGACAATGAAGGCTCATAGGGACAGTAATTGCCTTGACTGGAGCAAAGCCAAGCTAGGACCCAGGCAACTGGGCTCAGTCTGTGCTCTTGCCTGTGATGCTGTAAAATTTTCCCTCAGGGCTATAAGCATATATTTTAGTGCTTATAGTACAAGTGCAAGAGTCAGGGCCCTTAGAGTGGTCTGTAGACATGGGGAAGGACCTGGGAAAGCCAGTCGAGAAAGTATTGCCTAGGATCCAGGGACAAGAGGCCAGCAGTCCCAGGTGAGGAGGAAGGGCAGATGAGGTGACAACTGGGAATGATTCTGATGGACACCTGTCTGCAGCACTGCCCAGGAGATGGGGAGAAGGGCCTGGTGGCAGAGAGGGACCGCATGCCGTGCTGAAGTCCAGCCGTGGCCCATTTAGGATGGTGGCAAGGCCTCATCTGTGGGATGCCTTTCCGCAGTGAGCAGGATGGGGGTCAAGCAAAGGGTGGACTTTTCCAGGAAGTAGACGTTTTTAGGACAGACAGAGCTAAAAGGTGCGGGGTTTGAGGAACTGGGATTCTAGGTGAGGAAACATGGACCATGGGTCCAGACTAGAGAGGAAAGAAAACCTAGGAGCAGATGGGGAAATGGCATTTCTAACGAAGTGAAGCTGTTTGGCCTTAACTTGACAGCATGGATGTTATGCTTTATTAGTTGATGCTGGGCATGGTGGCATGTGCCTATAGCTGAGACTGAAGCTGAAGGATGGCTTGAGCCCAGGAGTTCAAGGCTATAGTGAGCCAAGATCGCACCACTGCACTCCATCCTGAGTGAGACTCTGTCTCTAAACAAACAAAGAAAAAAACCTATTAGTTGATCAGATCTGGAGAGCATCTAAAACATTTAATGTGACATGCTATCACTGTGGGTGAGTTTAACTGAAAAGCAGATGAAGTAAGTTGGCAGAATCTTCAGGATTCAAGGCATACCCACATCTGGTTGGTGTGTAAATTAGTGTAACTTTTCTAAGGTTAAATGACCAATGTCTGCCTATTGAAATTGTGGCAGTCTTTGACCCAGAAAGTACTCATTCATGCACAGTGCATAAAAATAAATTCAGAAAGTGTTTTTTGGTTTTCTTTTTATTAACCTGCAATGTATTTTGTATATGTGTTAATTATTGTATTAATTAAAAAATAAAAATTCTAGCATCTTAATTCAACATACACCTTTAATGTACAAATGTTGAACTCCTCTTCATAGACAACAGAATACCATGTTGGAAAAAATATGTAAGATTCCTGTTGTTTTGATAAAGTATTCATCTCTAACACATTCAGACTCTCTTGTTAACCATGTATCACGAAGTTAAATAAACCTCTTTCTTTTTCAGATAACAAAGTACATTTGCTTTTAGACCACGAGCTTGAATCAGCATCCCAGAAGATAGAAGACGTTTGTAAATCCCCTAAGCTACTTTCTCTAAAATCTGATAGGGCAGCAAACAAGGTGGAGAGGCATACTCCAAGGGCCAAGATTAGACCTGTAAGTTTGCCTGTGGATAGACTACTTCTGACAAGCCCTCCCAGTGAGAGAAGTTTGGGAAATGTGAATTTAGACAAGTTTTTCAAGAATCCTACCTTCGAAGGAATTAATAGAAAAGACACCCCTACTACTGTTTGTTCCAAATTTAATGGCTTTGACCAGCAAACTCTACAAAAAACTCAGGACAAACAGTGTGAACAAAACAATGTAACTGCCAAGACTGCAATGATTGTGCCCAACGCACTCCAGGAAAAAGGATTAACGACAAGTGCCAGGATTGGGGGGAGCCCGTCCATCAGTGCCTCCCAGCCCAGTAAGCCATTCGCAGAGCCAGTAAGGTCTGCAAGAGAGGCTTTCGAGAGGCGCTCCTCTGACTCCTGCTCGCTCGCTCCGGTCAGAGTGCCTAGAACACTACAGCCCCAACACTGGACAACATTTTATAAACCACCCGCTCCCACTGCCTGTGCCAGGGGTAGCGAGGAGAAACCAGCTTCTCCCTCGGCAGCACTGCCTCCCGGTGCAGCCCACGATCCCCAGGGTTACGTGGTGAAGTCCACGCCAGACTCTGACAGAGCAGCAGCTTGTCCCAGGCAGACGACCAGTCAACCTAAGGAGAACTCTGAGGAGCATGGCTTGCCTGATGTGAACCCAGCATGTCAGAGGCCACGGCTAAAACGAATGCAGCAGTTTGAAGACCTTGAAGATGAAGCGCCACAATTTGTGTAGGGTTGTCACAATTCAGGCTTTCTTTTTTTGTTGTTTTGGGGCATTGTGTTTGTATTGTAAAAGAATGTTTTGACAGGACCTCTTTTGTACAGGATTGCCACATTGTGGACTTTGCTTTCTGTTCTTGTGTTGTTCCCTGTTGGTCATGTTGAATGGCGGAATGTTTCACTAGGGCCACAGATGTGCCTGACTGGAATTATCTTTAAATTCTATATTTCTGAAGTTGTGAATAAAATAGGTGGATTCGCGTTTTTTAAAAGTTCAATAGACTTTTCTTGTAAAATGATCCATTTAAATGCATCCCTAATGTATGATATAGTTCTCACTAATAGGTGCAACTGGGGAAAATCAGCTTTGTATTTTGGAATGAAGTTAAGTGCTTATTTATAAAAGAAATGTTTCTGAATGCAAGTGCCTGTAAGATCTTTGTTATAAATATGTTTTTTCACACAATTTTATAGTGCATCTTTTACCATTTATGTTTTTTTTGGTATGTATGTAAGCTCTTATTTTTCAATTGGCAATTCACTTAATTTTAAAATATTTACATAATGGCCCAAAGGCTTGCAAATCTGTATTTAATTGCATTTTAATTAATTGACAGATTTTACATGTGATAGTCAAATTGTTCAAGGAAAACTGCACTTAAACTTGTATTTAAATTACGTCGTTCAGTTACGTCTTATTTGACTTTAGGTGGCTTTAATACACTTGATGGTTTTTCATCCCTTGGCTTTATACTACATAAACTTTTGTTTTTCTACATCTCTGAACTTTTTGGAATTTTTATAATTGGTCCCAAAAAATGCCTTTTGCTGAAGTTTTTAAATTCAGCGCATTTCCTCTTGATATTACCCGGGTTTTGTTAAAGCCATTCCTTTGTATGAAAAGTTTTGACTTGTGGATCACTTTATGTACTTGTTCTACCTGGACTTTCATCCACTGAAAATGTATATTCCATCCAAATCAAGTTCAGATTTATTTGATTCTGAGAGTACAGGTCAATAAGCCTCATTGTTTGGAATTTGAGAGGAGGTATAGATGATCGGATTGTTTCATTTATAAAATCCTGGTTTTTAGAACTAGGACATTCCTGTTATTTTCTGGATTTCATCATTTTGTCTAAAATAGGATATAAAAGGGAAAAAAATATAGCCTTTTTTTTTGTATGCGTGAATTATATTTCTACTAAATGCTTTTGTATGACCGTGTTATACTTGATAAAAAATATATATATATTAACTTGTTAAATTATTTCATGTTTTCGTGGCTTCTCTGAAATTGTTGCCTCTTAGGGTGTGAAAATTTAATGTTATGGGCTCAGTGGCCAGCAGTTGGATTCATACATCCCGTGACTACATGGAATGAATTTTATGGGAAGCTGTTTTATAGTTCTGTGTGACATTAAGGACTGGGGAGAAGTGAGTAACCAACCCTTTTGTGCTGAAAACTTATTTTTAGGCTTCATTGTACAAAATATAAAGGAACCATATTGCTATAAAAATCTAAAAGGAAAATTAGAGCCAACATTTATTGAGCCCGCACTCTGTGCCAAGAATTTTGCTGAGTTCCTACATAAATTATTTCATTTTGAGTTCACAGCAACCTGTCATGGGTGGGTAGTAAGTATTTTAGTGTTTGTGTTTGCAGATAAGGGAACTAAGGCATAAATAAATGACTCGCTTCTAAGTTCTGCAGGTCTAACAAGTGGCGTCAAATCTCAAACACAGGGCTGTCGGGTTTTGGCGCTTAATAACAATGTTATCACTGAATAGTATCAAGAACAACAGAAAGTACAGCTTTAAAAATTTTTTATTGAGGTAAAATACACATAAAATTTACCATTTGGGCCACTTTTAGGTATGTAGTTCAGTGACACCAAGTGTGTTCACATCGTTTTATCAGTTGTGAGCAATTCTCCATCTCCAGAACTGTTTCGTCATTCTTCTATACTGAAACTTAGAAAATGTACTTTTAAACTTCTTCAGTTTTCTTTTAATATGTGGAGACGGCCCAGTCAAAGAATGTATCATGTAGTCCACTCATTTCCGTTTCCCCTCACTTAAAACATGTGAGAGCTTACTTTGGGGTCCTTCCTGCCTTGGGGGCTCCCTGGCATTTTATGCAGCTTGGAGCCATCAGCCTAGATGCTTGCTAGTCTGCTGGGTTATTAGGCAGGTGTCTCCTGAGGAGAGGCTGCTGTGTCTGGAGCACCCGGTATACACGGGGCCTTGCCACTTGGTCATGTGGTGAAGTCACAGGAAGTTGTTTCATGACCATGGAGAGACGTGAGCAAGGAGGGGGTGCAGCAGGGGAGCATCCCAGGGGGCTGCCATACTCCTGGAAGCTGCAGAAGGCCCGTTGTGCCAGGTCCTGAGAAGGCACTGGGAAGGGCTAATCATGACTTCCCTAGAGACACGCGCTTTACGTGAGGAGAGTTTAGCTAGGATTTAGGGACAGTGCCGTTCAAAACTACTGTTGGCGCACCTGAGCGATGTGTTTCTTTGATGCAGAGATGGAGACCATATGATCCCTGTAAGGGACCTGTTGTCTGGTGACCTCATAAGCAAATAGAATTGCACCTCACTTCCTTGGGTGATTTAAAGATGGTGCTTTGGTCACACTGTTCCCAGCTATCGTTGAGTTAGTTACAGTAGTCCTGTAAACATTCAACAACCATTGTGTATTTTTAAATAAGTTACAGTCAGTGTAATTCTCTGGGTTTTTCTTTCTGGAGGCAGGAGATTATTGGGATGTGTTGGTATGATCATATACGTGGACAATTCAGTTAACATCTAGAGTTCCGCAAAGTTGCTGCATTCACAATCAGTATGACAAGTCAATTGTATTCCCAGATTATCGTCAACTAACAGAAATGAAAGTTTTTACAAAGATCTCTTCAACAACGCTAAGAAATGGAAATGCTGTACCTAAGAATAAATCTAACAACAGATGTACAAGGTCTCCATGGAGAAAATTTTAGAACCTAACAAGAGGCATTTTAGGAGATCTTAAATGGAGCACCTTGTAATGTATAAGGGTCGGATGACAGAGTGGGTAAGGACATTAATTTGCCTTACACTTATATATAGGTTCACTGTCATCCCAGCCAAAATGTTCTTGAGCCATTTGAAAGTGCATTGTGGATAGGAGGCCCCGTTCCCGCTAATGACTTCAGAGTGCATTTACTTAAAACAAAGACACCTCCATAGTCACAGCACAGCTCAGGAGCTTAACAGGAGACACAGACTTGACATGCAGCCCGCAGCTCACGTGGCTTTGCTGACTGACCATGCTGTCCTTCTTGTTCCAGTACCTAGTGCAGGGTCACAGATGCAATTAGTTGCCCTGTCTCTTGTTTCCTTCAATCCAGAACAGTTTTGAAGTCTTTTATGGCCTTGACACTTAAGCAATGTAGACCAGTTTGTAGCATGTTCCTCTGTTTGGGTGTATCTAATGTTTCCCATGATAAGATTCAGGAATATACATTTTTGCCAGCAATCCTCAGAAATGATGCTGTAGCCTCAGTATGTCATACCAGGATGCACACAATGTCAGTTTGTCTATTCCTGGTGATACAAACTTTGATCACTTGGTTAGGGCAGTATCTATCAGGTTTCTCCATTGCAAAGTTAAAATTATTTGCGCTTATTTATTTTTAGAGACAGGGTTTCTCTCTGTCACTTAGGCTGTAGTGCAGCGGTGCTATTGTAGCTCATTGCAGCCTTGAATTCCTGGGCTCAAGCAATCTTCCTACCACAGACTTATGAGTAGCTAGCACTACAGGAACACCACCACACCCAGCTAACTATTTTTCTTTTAGAGAGATGGAGTCTTGCTTTATTGCCCAGGCTATTCTTGAACTCCTGACCTTAAGCAATCCTTTCATCTTGGAGAGAGACCTTGGCCTCCCAAAGTGTTGGGATTACTGGCAAGAGCCACTATGCCTAGCCTAAAGTTACAATTAAGTAGTATACTTTGTGAGGAGATTCTTAGAGACTGCAAATATCCTGTTTCTCATCGGATTACCATCAGATAGTTTGAGTCCACTGCCGGTTCTTGCCTGAATCCATTATTATTTTGGTTGCCAATGGTGAGTCGTGGCTTTTGCCTTGATTGGATCCAGGTGCCAGGAAGAGCTGGCCCTTCTCTGTCCATTCATCTATATCAGCATGGATCATGGATTCCTTGCTTTGTTCAGTAGGTTACTGTGTATTACTGCCGTTTATGTTCATGCTAACCTCTCCCAGATTTGGTGTGTGGGAGTTCCCCCAAGTGGCCTTCGTGTTCCTGGAGGTGTCCTCCTTTTGGACTCCTCCTTACTTTTTGGCACATAGACGTATTACAAGCTCACCTTGTACTTTTTCCTGCCACTACCCAGGTCTAGAATGAACCATCTTTCCAAGGAGCACTGGTTCCTTTAAAAAGGGTATGTGGAAGCCAACACCCTAGAGGGGCTCACTGCTCCTGGAAAGTTGTAAATTTTAAGCCCTGTTGTCGGACAACACAAAGAAAGGCATGTGTGTACACACATGCAGGAATACACACCTGCATCCGTGCACGTTTATAGACACAGACATTGAAAACCCTGAGTTCACATGACACCTTCGATTCTAATTCAACACTGGGGTTCGTCTAGTCTCCATGTTTGTAACTTCCTCCTCCTGTAGAAACGTGACTCCCACTACCCTGGAGATAGCATTTTGTCCATCCTCCCTTAGCCTCTTGACAATGCCAGCTGCTGCCTCATCACACCCAGTCATTACCCTGCCGGACTGAGCACACCAGTACTCAATGTGCCAACATGTCCACCGCCTCTTGGCCCGGGCCATGCCAGCTATCTCCCAGTGCCTGTGACATCAGTCCTGAGCCAGCCGTTTGAATCCTAGGCCCTGTCATCTGGCTGAAGGGAACAGATACAAGTACACAACCTTTTAAGAATAAGCAATTATTAAATATTTGTTGAATTGACCAGGGAAAGTTTAAAAATGAGTGGTTATATATGTTTGCCAGGAATATTTAAACATGGACATATTTATGAAATGTATTGAAAAT